TTCTGACCGGAAGGAGAAAATTTAAAAATCACAGACGGACTTTGGCAGTGCTGGCCCGAGAGAAAAAAGTGCTTTGTTTCCTTCTTGCTCAGCTAATCCGGAGTTCTTCCCTACGCCTGCGCAGACCAGGCGGAGGAGCTGACCTGCTCAGAAAGGGGGATTTCAGAACCTCTCAAGAAGTGCTCTCGCCATGAGCCTCTGTTCAGGGTTTTAGAGGATCAGCTCCAGCTGCTGGGCCGGCACCCGCTCTGCTGAGCAGAGCAACAAGGCAGCGGTATGTCACGGGAGACAGCCCCTACCTAGAACTCTAAGTTACCTACGGGAAAACTGTACGTAAAACAGCTGCTTACCTAAGCCTTCGATAGTCAGCACTACACAAACAAAAGTGATTTAAAATTCAAGTCGGTATTAAGTTCATTGTATGTCTCTTTTCAGCTACAAGTTCAGACAGATCATCTCCGGCCCATCGACGGCATGGTGGGGGGACAGCAGCTCTGCTCTGGGCAGAGCATTCCAGACCTGAACCTCGCGTTTCGCACAGCCGAGGGGTGGAGGCTGGGACGGAGCCCTAAAAACCTGCTTTAGGAAGTGAAAGGCTGGGGAGGGATTTTTTTCACTTCTGAAATGTTTCTCTGTGTAAGATGCGTACGGGATACATGAGCAACGTACTACTTAAAGCCAGGACGATGGTTTTTTTAATTATGTAAATTGTATAGCACTGTAATAGTCGTAGTTTTAGTACTGACCTTGTGTTCACAAGTCAGCAGACAATACTTCATGAGGTTAGATGGCATTTATTTGTATTTATCCAAACATTCTATTCAGTAAAACAGGCTCACTCAATTTCAAATTTTGTATTTTTAGGAACTGTAGGACTACAGCACCGATGCCATCCTGGCAGTGCCACCTGCGACCATCCCTCCCCGGCCAGACGGGGTCAGTGAGCCCAGACCACCAGTGCTGGATGTCACAACGGAAGAAGCGACCTATGTTTTATATGACATGGACCAGCGTCTCCCGCCAGCCCCGAGACCAATGATGGGTTCTGGGCCCTCCTGAACCACAGTCTGCGTCAGCCGCGCCGCTGCTGCACGTTTGGATCCCACAAACAAGTGAGTAAAATGCATTCTTGGGGCGAGCTGGCAGGGGACGTCAGGCAGGGCTGCCCTGTGCCCAGCTGGGACGCGTGTTTTAGCCGCTGAGGAGCTGCGGTTCTTGGCTGTAATCGGGGATGCCGGTGCTCGGGGATGCCAGTGCTGGGGGATGCCGGGGCTGGGGGATGCCGGTGCTTGAGGGTGCCGGTGCTGGGGGATGCCGGTGCTTGGGGATGCCGGTGCTCGGGCATACCGGTGCTTGGGGATGCTGGTGCTCAGGGATGTCAGTGCTCGGGGATGCTGGTGCTCGGGGATGCTGGGTACTGCGCCGAGGGCGGGCTGGCCACCAGACGGAGCTGTCAGCCCGCCGAACCAGGCGGCACCGGGGCTAAACCGGAGTGGGTTATGGCCCTCTCCTTGTGCCGATGAGCAGCCTTTCCGAGCCCCCAGCAGTGCATGATCAGCGCGATAAACTGCATGGCAGGCTGTGCTCAGGGTGAAAAGCTAAACGGGGTATCTTTAAAACGTACTACGTGAGTTAAACTGTTACTCGCCGTATCCCTGGGGAGAGCCCGCATTCTGTTAGGCGCTGGGTCGGGTGACTGACTGCGTGGTACAGGCTGTCATGTTGGACCAAGGAAAGATGCTCTTTGGCAGCAGCTTCATCTACCGGTTTGCTGCCAGGCGCTGCTCTTGCTTGAGGACGGATGGCACCGCTGGAGCTTCTTGGGCTTAAGCGACAAAAACCTCCCCTGGAGACGTAGGGCAGGAGGGAGCTCTCAGGTGGGGGCCCCTGCCCGAACCGAAACGCTTCTCTCTTCCTGGAAGCACTGCCTCTCCCGTGCTCGGCCACGCTGCCCGGGCACGCGTGGGGAGTGTTGCTTCTGGCACCGCCTTTCAGATGTAGGATAGATTATTAAGACAGTGGAGGATCAGGCCGTAGATCATTTAAGTTGCATAAACAATCTGCACGTTACTTAATCTCATCCTCCAACAGCTCTATGTATCATGGCAGAACTTGGCACAACTCAGCCTGACTGGAGAGTGACGGATGTCTAGATCTGGATTAAAAATGTCTTAGAATAAGATTTCTAGCAGGGAGCATGGGTCGGCACTGCGTACGTATGTGGAAGACTGCACAAAGCCTCTCATCTCCATCAGTCCTTCATCTTTAAAGTAGCTGTAACTAGTTTTTTAAAAGAAGTAATAAAAACAAAAGCCAACAACACTTGCAGAGATCATTGGCAGGAATGTCTTCGGCCAGGAGAGAGCTGCTCGAAAGGCTGGAGTGCTGCAGAGAAAACTGAAGGAGCTAAAACAACTGCTGGTACCGCAGACACCTGAAGGCTGACCGGGGGCCTGCCTGGAGTGGCCTGTGAGTGACAGAGTAAGGGGGTCCTGGCACAAACACTGGGACAAGCCCACAAACCAGTTCTGCGCTGCACTGCGCTGCGTTTTCCTAAATCCTGTGAGCATGGCTGGCTGGCAGCGCTCGCTCACCTCCAGCAGGTGACCTGCAGGAGGCTGGCGTTAGTCTGTGACGGGTTTTTTTAGAGCTGACTGTTGTTCTGGTTCTGACTTCCCAAATGCCTGGGAAGGATTAGCAGTGATGTCTCTGCTGTACAAGCGTCCCTCTGCTTCAGGGTTCTGCAGGCTGCCGGGTCTAATTCTGCTTCTCCCCGGGCAGCTATTGTGACAAGCACGCAGCCTGCGTCCTACAAAGCCAAGCCAGTACAAGGGGCACATCATCTGTGAAGGAGAGAGGAAAGGCAAAGGCGCCACGCACCACGAGCTCTGCCTGGAGCGCGGTTTCGATACTGCCGCTGTGGCATTACGAGGACATGATTAAGCTCTCCCATGAAAATATCACACAAGGTTTTCATTTCACAGCGGTCTGACCTCAAATACCTTGTCAAAATAAAATAAGCCAAGTGCTCTGCAATTATTAACATTTCCTGTTAGCTGCTCCATTTAACTGCAACGTTGCATTTAAAATTCACTGAACGCACTGTGCAAGAGATTTATAAAGTCCGAAACCTTCCGTCCTCCGGGGAAGGAGCGGGGCAGGCTGGGTGCCTGCTGCTTTCAGAGGCTGCTGGACACTTTCACGCTCTGCTTTTCCTTTGTCTGTTCCTGGGAGTCGAGGGGCTCTACCCGGCACCCGGGATGAGAAGAGCCTGCTAACGGCTACGTACACAATTCGAATAGCAACAGCAACAGATCGCTTCACGGTTGTGATTACCTCCTGACAAACTAAAGGGGGGAGGTTTGTTGGGGAAGAGATAACCTGGGAACACAAAGGAGAAGACTAAGATGGGAATTCCTGCTCGAGCAGAGAGCAGAATTCGTGCTCGTCCATCACACCTGCTCAGCACCGCGGCACCGCGGCGCAGCACGCTGGGGACCAGCACGGCAGTTGCCCAGGAAGGGATGAGAACCAGGCCGCTGTTTAACTGGGTGATATTGCATCTTTATCCAAGAAACAGCCCGAGTCAGCTGACGCGCCACATCCCCGCTTCACCTCCGGACCCAAACACTGCCAACCTCCATCGCCCTGGAGACGAGAGACTTCAGCGGAGGGCACCCCGGGGACGGTGGCTCAGCACGGCGTGGGCAGGCCGGCCCTCCCAGGCGCTGACCTCCAGCCGGGGCCCCGGCTCTGCGCCGCGGCAGCGCCTCACCCTGTCCCTCTGCTGCCGCTGCCTCTCGACCGGGAAGCAGCCAGCGACGTTACCGATGTAGAGCAAACTCGGACGGTCATTGTTTAAACTTACAGTAGTCACAGATTCCAAACTACAAGTAAATACTGAAAGTTAGATCTAAACATATTTGTATCTAGATTTAACACAAGCTTTCATCTCTACAGCGCAATGACACTGCCTGGCATTTACACGTTATACCGAAACATGGTTCTGAAGTGGCCTTCCCCTGGACTAACACCACAAATTAATCTGCAGTGGTACAAAGACACCTTTAATAGGCTTGACTTCCCTCCAGGTAGCTCTAAGGAATGCCCAGTTTTGCTGAGTTGTCCAAACAGTCACTAACAAAATGAATTTTATCTTGCATTACTTTCTTTACATGCCTATGAAAAGTCCATGCCTGAAAACTAACGAAAGGGTGAGTCTCGCTGAATAGCAGAGATTCTTCTGTCCCAGCAGAGCTGGTTTTGGATACAGAAGGTGTTGGGCCTCAGAGTATTGTCCTGGAGTTTACGATGAGTTGGTTGGAATACACTATGGCATAGAAGAAATGTTAGGGAGTAACGCACAGACTGAAGAAACGCGTGGCTTCGGGTAATTGGTACCTACGCCTCATCCCATGCTTGGCGGGGATTTGTCTAGGGGGGGGGAGGTTAAACAAAGCGTGACAGCCAGTTCCGTGGTAGCGGGCTAATTGTTGGCTCCTCTTCCTCCTCCATAGCAGTAACAGGCCCGTCATCGCAAACATTCTCCTACGCAACCTTATCGCTGCAGATGAGAAAACAAAAGAGATGAGCAACATGAGAGCATCACTCTGAAGCGTCGCTCCTACGCGCGGGAAGCAGCAGCACTGCCCTGGCCCTGCCGTGCATCTGAGCCGACCTTTGCCTGTTCGAAATGAGAGGTGAGGAATCAAATGAGAAGTCTACACGGGATTTGTAAAGAGGATTCTGAAATGGGAGATTACAGTTGGTATCTAAGGAGCAGCAAGGTCACAGGAGACGGGTACATGTGAACAGACTTAATTCTTATCATCACTCCGAGTGCATTTGTTGTATTGCTCCTTTTGTTAAGCAAAGAACAAAGACCAGAGGGATCCGTTCCTCTTGTGTAGATTTGTAACGGTATTTACTAGAGCTTCCTACTATGTTTAAAATGTAAGAGTTTGTTTTAAGTTCCGAGCGAGGCAGAGAGCCACTGGTAGTTACTGTTCTTCTGTTTTGCTGCTGTTGCGGAACTTCACCACCATCACTGTTATATTATCAGGACAGCCTCTGTAAAAGGACTGTAGGACTATACTCTTTGCGCCGAAGTGTGGTTCATCCAAGCGTTCCTTGATGAACCGGACAGCTTCCTCGTTGCTGAAAGCATCCCACAGACCATCCGATGCCAGGATCATGAACTCCGGCTGCAGTTTGTCCAGGTCAAAGGTAAGAATGTCGGGGTCGGGAATGACAACGTTCAGGTTCTTCAGAGGGTAGTCTCCTAGCGAGCGGGACATGGCCAGGATCCCCTGCACACGCCAGGAGCCGTTAAAGCTGATAAAGCCACCTGAAGAGAAACACCAACACTTAAAGCCGTTCTTTGTAAAGTTAAAGCGTTTTCCTGCCTGACCCCCCCCCCCCCCCAAAGTG